GATAGATAGATAGATAGATAGAAATAGTCAGATGATAGATAGATAGATAGATAGATAGATAGATAGATAAATATATATATAAAATGTATCTTTATATGTCTTTCCCCTGTTTTAATTCAGACTTTTTGTATTAGCACATTACAAAAAAATGCTCCGATGGTTTGTAAAAGCTCTAAGATGTGACATAATGCCACAGTCACGGATGTTTTTCCCGGCTCATCTTTGGCGGTTTATCGCCCATCAAATCGAATTGATGTCATTCAGGGTTACCACCCCCTTCTTCTCTCTTCAAGACCTGGGAAGGTTTTGCTGAAAATCGCACCTAAACTGCCACTGTACTATAAGAAATCTTCTCTATGAGGTGGAATTAATACAGCTAGTACGCTTCAGCCACACTGTCTACCTCTTCTACTGTACAGGGGCTTCCAGCTTCTCAAATAGGAAATTCTGTAGAGATCTACTCTTAGGATAGAAGGCATGGAAGAATATTTTTTCAGTGTTGAATGTCGAAGGGCTGTTTTTTGTGAACTTTATGTAGGCTAAATTCATCTGCCTCTATGAACATGTAACAGCATTGTGAAATGTTTCGGTATATAATATAGTTGCTTCTGTCATTCTATTTGATTTCGATCTTTGCCAAACAAGAATGCTTTGTACATACTGCTGACATAAACAGTAGCCTAATTAGACATCACTGGAACATTATGGTTATGTATGAATAATATTACTATTTTGCAGTTAAGCTAAATCACAGAATTCTGTTCAATTGCAAGCCGGTGTAGATGCTATTTATGTTTGAGCAGAAGTTTCCATGTTTCCAAGATGAATAAATTGTGCTATCAGATGCTTTCTACTTTTTGAAGTGAGTTTATATGCTTTTTGGTAGCTCATGCTGAAAGCGACAAGTTTTGCTATAGTACACATCGATCAATTTTTGAAGCCGCATAGCGAAATTTTCTGTTGGTTTTCTGCTTAAGTCTAAGAAAGGCTATGTATTGACCAGAATGTTTTTAATATTATTTCTCTAATTGGCAGCATAAAAAAAAGTAAAGACACTGAATCTATAAGCCAGTGTAAGAAAAAAGAAAAAGAAAACAACAATGCACATTATTTACTTTTTCCTGACATGCTATAATAATAGTTCAACTGATGTTACTTCTGAGTGTCACAAGTTTTGGTCATAAAAAATAGTATAATTTTATATTATAAAATGTATAGAATAAAATAGTTTAATTTTACATTAGTATCATATATATATTATACTAATTTAAAATTAAACTATTTTATTCTATAAATTATACTATTTTTTATGACCAAAACTTGTGACACACATATATATATATATATATATATATATATATATAACATGGCAGTGCTTCAAAAAGTTCATGGGGTGTGATTCCGCAGCATCTCTTCCTCCATACGGGAGGGGGCGTGGCTTCACTTCCGCTTTGGCGCGAGACACCCGAGCGAGGTACCCCCTTCTTGGGTTGAGATCGCGCGTGCGAAGTAGGTAGAGCAGATCTCGAGATCTCTGCTTTGTTCTCTTCACGATTTGTGACTCGCTCTACTACAACGACGGTCGAGGACAAAGGAAACGGAGGTATAAATATATATTATTTGTGCTTGAAAATTATGTCATTCTTTTTATAATATGTGATTATTTTTTTTTTAAATGTGCGGACTGCACACGCTCTCAAACGTTTACGAGCACGCACCGGTAGCTTCGATACTGGCGAACAGGCCTCAAAAGAGCGGCCTAAAGCGTTGAAAGTATCATTATAATTTGCTAAATGAGTTTAGGTAATAATGTAACCACTCTATGTGTGGGTAATGATACTATTGCGATGTTGTTAATATTTATTTATTTGTAACCGTTCGCGCTATTCGTGCAGCCTAGCTTAGTGTGGTTAGCCTAGCCTAGCATACATTTAGCTACTCTTAATTGTTTTGCGTGTGTTTTTGGTTGTAGATGAAATAAGTCGACGACTAAACGTTTATTCCATTGTAAGTGGTAGACTAAAGTGATTTTTGTCCCTACACTAGTGCAAACAATGTAAAAAAATGAAATGGTCTAAACCGATGGATGTAACGGTACGGTTCGTAACGATGCAGGGTTTTGTCTTGGCTCTCTAATAGAAAATGTGTATCTACTGCAAGGCTGTTTACAATTTCTTCTTTTCTTTTTCAGACTAAGATTTTGAAGCTGTAAGGTGTCTACATGGCCGTCAGAAGAGGACACATAAGGTATTTAAAAGTAAGTATTTACAATCTACTTTTACATTAATTTCTACAGTGAAATGGTGAGTTACCTTATAACAATTCAATATGTTAAGGTATATATGTTGCCTATTGAGCTACCGTTGTTTTTGTTTATGCACTTATTTTATTGACAATTGGGAAGAATTTCAGAGACTGGTTTCAAGTGGTTATGCACAGACATTTTAGTAAGAGAAAATAATCGTCTGCAACTTAGGGGTGTGCGATATATATCGTTTGCGATAATATCGTAATTGTTGTTTTAACGATGTGCGATTTGACATTGAATATTTTGCAAAAAACTTTCAAAACACCCCTACAGAGTGCACACATACATGAAGTCTAGACTAGAGCGCGCACGCATTTAGAGTGCAGTCTATTACAACACATTTAGAATGATCACAAATTCAAGACATGGGGGCAGAAAATGTATATATTTATACCACTTCAAATAGCCTAGTTAATCAATTTCACACGAAGAGTGCCGTTTTTTTTCTCCAACAATGACAATGATTACAAATGTGATATTGATTTTTTTTACAACAGTTCAATAAACAAGAAGTTAATTAAGAGACTTACGCTTTAGAAACCATATTTCCTGTTTTTGCGCTATTTTGACAACAAAAAATAATTCCAAACACAACCACAGGGCTGTTTTGCGTCTCTGAGCAACATGACGCAGTTTTGTTCCTGAATGAATTAATCGTTTATCTAATTGACTGATTAAATGTAAGAATTTGACTCAAAAGATGATGCACACTTTTAGAAAAAAAAAAGGCTTTATAAAGGTCAAAATGCCCATAAAATGTAAAAATCTGTTAAAACTTATTGGAAAATATTGATTTCTATCAGTGTGAACTGACCATTGCACAGAATATGAAGAATGTCAAGTCAGCTGTCCATGGCAGTCCTTAAGGTACCAGCACAATTACACACTCAGCAAAATATCGTCTAATTATCGTTATCGATAAAATCAATAAACAAGAAGTTAATTAAGAGACTTACGCTTTAGAAACCATATTTCCTGTTTTTGCGCTATTTTGACAACAAAAAATAATTCCAAACACAACCACAGGGCTGTTTTGCGTCTCTGAGCAACATGACGCAGTTTTGTTCCTGAATGAATTAATCGTTTAATGATTCGGTTCAATCGCATTGACTCACTTATTAACAGTGACTTGCTGCCACCTACTGGCGGTTTTAATTTCACATTCAGAGTATCTTTTATTATTTAAATAATTTCAAATATCAGTATTCAAAAGATAATGGACACTTTTAGAAATAAAAGGCTTTATAAAGGTCAAAATGCCCATAAAATGTAAAAATCAGTTAAAACTTATTGGAAAATATTGATTTCTATCAGTGTGAACTGACCATTGCACAGAATATGAAGAATGTCAAGTCAGCTGTCCATGGCAGTCCTTAAGGTACCAGCACAATTACACACTCAGCAAAATATCGTCTAATTATCGTTATCGATAAAATCCCAGAAAATATTGAGATATTATTTTTTGTTAATATCGCACACCCCTACTGCAACTGCAAAAAAACAAACAAAAAAAAAGTTGGTTATGGCCGAAATAGATTTGGAGGGCTGAAGTTATTGACTGAAACTGGTATTTTATTAGTGCTTCTCTGGTGTATTGGGACAGTTTTAGCATGTATTTTATCCACATAAAGTGAATAATGTACAGCCAAACGTTAGCTGTGTAGATGCACTTCACCATGACCAAAACTAAAAAGTAGAAAAACACGTTCAGCTAAAATATCAAAAGGTGGCTTGTTAGTGAGGAAGTTTAATTGCCCAAATTTAACTAACACCGCTTTATTGGTTTACAGCCAAATGAAAATTTACTTTTTGGTTTCTGTACAAAAAAAAAAAAAAAATCACATTTCATTATTTGATTATTAGTTTCAACAATTGTTGCTATATTTTTTGCATAGTACAAGTATAAAGGCCAGGAATTACAGTTAGCACCTAAACAAAAGTACAAATAGCTATATATTGCATGGTGTTATTAGGTATATATTTATATCATGTTGCAACTGATTTGTTGCTGCAGGTTTGTGAGGTTCAGAACCAGGGTAATGACAGAGACTCACACAAGAGTGGCAGCTCAGTAAAGGTAAAATTGGCCATTATTTTTGTGTGTAGACTAATGTCAGATGTTGTTGGTCATGCTACTTGCCACAAGAGTGGCAGCTCAGTAAAGGTAAAATTGGCCATTATTTTTGTGTGTAGACTAATGTCAGATGTTGTTGGTCATGCTCTTTCCTTTTTTTTTTTTTTAGGTTTTAGTCTGCCAGTGTAAGTCTTCTTGGTTTGGTCACAGTGCATAATCTTTTCTCAAGCAGGAAGTATACGACATGCCGAATGGTTACGAGGACCAAATGGGCGATGAGCCAAGTGATGCGAAAACCAACCTGATCATCAACTACCTGCCCCAGAACATGAGTCAGGAGGAGCTTCGGAGTCTCTTCAGCAGCATTGGCGAGGTGGAGTCGGCCAAACTCATAAGAGACAAGATGGCAGGTACGTCTCAACACAGTGAGCCAGTGTCTTTCTCTTCGGTGTTTGTGATACATGAAGAAAGAGGCTGTTTGTTTTCATAACTTGTCTGTTTCCAATAAGATTTTTTCCGATTTTTTTTTTTCTTTTTTTTTAAGTTACAAGTTTTACAGGGAATGCACTTATTTTTCAGTATTTTAAAGTACTGGTTTGTTTTTTTTGTTTTTTTTATATTAAAGCAAACCTTTGATTTCTTTTGACCAGTTTATTGAAGCTTGGGTCAGATTTGTGGCAGCATTTCACTGTCCACTGTGGTATGTTTTATGCTCCAATAAACATTTTGCTCACAAATTTTCATTTGGTTTATCTCCCCCCCCCCCCCC